CTGTAAATGACCATTTTGTTCCTTGGGTTTTATTTTCTACAGCTATTTTTTATTTTAAAATATTCAAAATATTGTCAGGCAATATGACTTCATAAAAGTCTAGACATTGCATATGAGTTCATAAAAAGGATGCCTATGATTTCTGAAGCTGACTTACATCTCCTTCTTTGGAATATAAACAAAGCCTAGGTAAAACTATATTATGCTAAAAAGGAAATACATTAAAAAGAGACACTGGCACCTTACAGACATATGATGCAAGTTCATTTGGTAAAATTTTATAGCCTGACAACTGTCCAGTGATCCAGCCAAAAATAGTGGAAAGATAAAATAGCTCTAAAGATTGAAAAGGCAAGAGATTAGCTACAGTTTGGTTTGAAATTATACAACAGTATCTCCAAAAGGAATGCTATTGAATAGCAATGTCAGCTGCAGGGTGTCTTGACCTAACTTACGCAGAGCAACAGCTAAATACTTTTTTGCCTACAATTTAAAACAACCCCCAAACTGGCTGTCAGTATTGACTAAAATTATTAATGGGGTGAACAAACCAGTAACCAGGTCTTACACAAGAAAAAACTAAGCTGACACTAACACATCTACTAGAAATTGAAAATCAAAAGCTGCCTTAAATTTGATCTACCCACTGGGCATTGATCAATCAGACAGCAACCCTCACAAATGTTCTCAAGTTCCCTTAAAATATTACAGATAATAGGGCAGTTTTCTATAGTGAGTTATGCTTATAAGGTCTGTTTAAAAACAATCTCCATGGTAAACTGATGGATATATTTCCTCTGTTTTCGTTTCCACTTACAGAAATTTCCATGCATACAATGCTTCAAATACCTGTTTTTTGTTGCTTATAACTGGTGCCCCAAGCGCTACACAAACTGGATCAGAGAATCATTAAATCAGAACATCATTAAACAAATTAGATGGATTTAATGATGTTCTGATTTCCATAAGCGTAACTTTATTTTTCCAGAGAAAATTCAAGCTTTGACACTAGATCCTAGAGACAATAAATTTAGCCAGTGCTGTAAAATGGAAGCAAGAGACAGGTCTTTTGGAAGGCAATGTATAAGGACACCTCCTCACCTCACAGTTTTTCCACTTCCGTTCTGACTCAACACTGTAATCAGTATGTCATCCTACCATGTGGGATTGGTGTTCTGACACATGTCCCATCACAGGCTCTATGGGCAAACCCAGAGACTAATGCCTCTTGCAGTAACACCCACAGCACCTCCCAGGCAGTCTGCCTCTTCTTGAAGCTGCAGCAGCCACAACACGTACCCTAGAGGAACTGTGGCAGTCTGTAACAATCTGTGATGCCTTATTAATCCCTCATAGAGCCTGCCTCTATAAAACCACTGCAGAACAGGCAAGAACCTGACCTGCTTTTTCTATTGACATCATCACACTTCTATAGCAGCAATACAGTGCTTACCCAGAAGAACAGCTCCTGCCTCCAAAGTAATTACCCTAATAGCAATAAGCACAGGGTGATGACCAGATCTAGAGTCATCCTCATCCTTATAGTGATAAGTAGATAAAACAGCACAGTGCAGAATCTGAGATGCAGAGGGCAGCTAATTTCCTAGAGGTGTTGGTTTGAGCAAGGCTTCCTTCCCATTCCCTGTTACAAGACAATAAGTTAGAGAGTGGTTTTCCTTAGGACAGTATTGTAGAAATGAAACACAATATCTGGGTATCCGTGATGCACATGGTTTGAGGGACAGAAATCCTGCAAGGAGGGGCTTTGTGTTGAGATATAAGATGGGGCAAGTACATTCTAGCTTTAGCCTCATTCTACTTTTCCCTTTTAGGAAAGAATTACACTGCAGCAGCTACCAGTATCATGAATGTCACCACAGCTACAGCCTAGCTTCATTCTTTCTCTATTTTCATCTTGATTGTCATTTCGAAGCTTGTGAAAATTGCTCTGGGATACAAGAGAAATGTACCTAGAAGTAAGTGTTCATTTACTAGTATGAGTCACTGCTGCGTATAGGAAACAGGAGAGACTGTTGTAACTGTGGCATGAAGTTGACAGTGTACAGAAATTAACTCAGGGTGTGTAAATGACTATGAAGGAACCATGGTTAGCTCTGAGCTCTCCATGAAGCCCACAATTCATCACTTACCTTGTGACATTGACAAATTTGGTCTCTGTGGACCTCTCCAATTTCTCTCCCTCTCCAAGCCAGAAGGTAATCATAATGTAGGTTGGGAGCATGACATTACTGTTCCTCATGCTAAGCAACTGCAAACTGCTCCCAGGAGGATGCCTATTTATTACTGGCTCTGTGCTGTGAAAGACTGACCTAATGAAGCAATATGGAGCAGCTGATGTTGGCAGCTTTTATGGTGTGGACACCATAGAGGTGCATTTATTGGCAAAACATTTGAGCCCCGAAAGCTACCACATAGAGGAGCCCTGCCTTGATAATTCTGTGGTGTGGAGTTTTTGTTTGGCTGCCCTTCCAAAACTACATGTAAAGTTTGCTTTTGAATCCATTGAGGATGCAACTAAAATCAGTAAGCACCTCAACTGAAGCTCCATTTTAATTATTAGGTTTTATCTAGTGTCTCCTAATGGTAACATATAAACTATATCTACAATATTGCATGTCCCAAATAGAAAATATTGTGGCTGTCTAGCTTTAATAGTTTTTTACTGCCTTCAGAAATTACTCAAGTACAGGGGTCTAAATGAAAATCTAACATCTGAGAGAATTGTCTTAACAGTCTAACATCTTTGGTATGTGAAAAAACGTCAGCCTGTTTTTAATGAAGATTATGAAAATGTGGATATAAGCTGTAGTCAAAGAGCAAAATGCATCTGACCAAATTTAAACATAGATATAAAATTTTATATAAATGTATGTATTTAGTAATCTCTATTTGGTATCACAAAATGTAGAGGCAGATAGCTGACTGAATTAACTGTCTAAACATCATGTAGTTATGATCCAGTCTGGCTCTTCCTTCTTCAATTGCCTATTGTAGTTAACCAGAGACATCATAATAGTGCCTAAATCACCCCACTGAAGGCAAAGGGCAGCCCAAGTGAGCAGCTCGGATGTAAGGATCTACTCTGCATATGTTTAAAGACAGTTGAAATGATTCCCATACACCCAGAAACTGAAAAGCATCATGCCTTCTTGTAAATACTCAGAGGCAGGTGAAATCACGGAAGGACTAGAACCCCTGGTTGGTATTATACACACCTTTGTCCTTCCTCCCCATGTACTGATTACATCCATCTATCAAATCACCCAAATCACAAAACTAAAAAGGACAGGAAAAACAAATCAATCCATAACCTCCAAACTTTCTTATTATTTAAAGGCCCCAAATGTGAAGGGCCGAACTGCCCCCCCCCCCACCAAATAACAGCTAATTAAAATATAAAAATACATAATGACTGCCTTATTTCTAATCTTTATCATATGTTAGATGAATAGTGCAAATCTAGCTCCTGGAGCTGGGATGTCTCTACTCTGTCTGCGCAAATGAGCACTTGGCATGTAGCTTGTTAAACCATGAGGAAAACACTGAGATAGGGAAAATCCTATATATCACCTAGCAAACAGTGCACTCAGAGCAATCCTAAAATTAAGCACTTGCACATCTTCTGCTGAGTTTGAAAGTAATGGGGAAACAGTCTCTGTACCTCGTGATACCTAGAAGAATGCTCCAAGGCTGTTAAGTAAAGGGTAATTTCTTCTCTTTTAGGTATATTATAAAAGCAAGACATGGCTTGCAACTGATTTTTGTGTGTTAGCTACAGAAGCATCTGTCTTAGAAACATATATTGCTTCTAAAGTACACAGGTACACAGAAATGAATTGCACAGAGCACCATGTAAGACTAATTGAACGGACCCCCAGGGTTCCAGTCTCAAGCAGGGTAGAAGCATGGTCTAGATGCTGAGTTGCTCAGTGCAGTCAAGATTTGGATGGAGGAGCTGCTTTCAAATGATACAGGCATGTAATATTAAAAAAAAAAAAAACACACCAGAAGTACTTACGGAGTTTAAATGATGCCAGACTAAACTCAGAAGAGGTTTTCAAAATAGTAATTTTGGACTTCAATGACTTGACCTAAATTCTGCTTCAGATTACTACATTAAGCAATTCCATAAAGTCCACCATAAAGTTACACCAAGGAGAAATTCTGCCCTAAATGACATAATTTCTAGCTTTTTTCTGGAACGAAAATACTATTGCACCATCACTTTCAAGACCATTCTAAAGCTGTGTAACACCACTCCATATAACACTTTTGAGCAGAAAGTTCAATATTTAAGAAACTTGATTCATATTAACTTAAGTAATTGGATTATTCATGTATTTTTATGGATAAATATGTAACAGCTCATCTGAGAAGGTATGTTTTAGAGTGTGAAGCCTATTTACATAGTAGACTCTGTGCATGAGGTAATCTCTGCAGTTCTGCCTTTAAAAAATACTTATGTCAGAGATGTTAATTTCCAAGTAAAACAATTTCGATTCTTAAAGCAGGTAACATTTTTCTGCAATTCAGGTTGAAGCAAGCAGCCAGCTTGCACATATCATTAAACTTCAAATTCCCCTCTAAATGACAGCCAAAGCATCCAGAAAGCTCAATATATTTTCTCTAAGGCTAGTTGATGTAGAAAGATTTTCATGAGACGTTTTCTCTTCTATCATCAGTTCAAAGATGCAAACAGTGACTGATTAAGCCTGCACTCCTTTCAGGTTGATATAACTGACTGAAAAAAAAAAATAATCTCACAGCTGGAATTCTTCCTGAAAACTAAAATAGATGACAAAGTAAAAGACCAGTCCTCTACAGACACTTAATGAAGACAGGCTTCAAGGGGTTTTCTATACCAGAGATTACTTTACACCCCAGGATGAAACAAAACCAGCAGATTTCTGCAGCAGAAGATTGCAATCACAGCAGAGTAAAGAAAATAACAAAACCATATTACTTGTTAAATCACTTACACTGGTTTTCCTTTGGATTCACAAGTCAAAATTATAGATTGTCCTTCTTCAGGCCATGAATTGGAAGAAATGATTTTAACTAAAGGTGTATCTAGGAAGAAAAAAAATAGACATCTTGTTGATATACACACACAAAAAAGATTTATTATCTAAGAGTACATTCTTCTCTACTTGCAAAAGACTATACCATTGATTTAATTTACACTTGGAGATGCTATTATTTGGAGCCTTGTGCAATTTCCATTGTCTTCAGGAAGGCAATAAAAATGACCAATGGAACTAAACTAGTAACATTTTATATCCCAAGGAAACACGGATAGAAAGCACATGTATACTCAGAGGAAATAACTTTTTTCTTTCTGTATTTGATGCAAATTCTTGATACAACTATTCCTAAGCCTGACATCTAACAACAAAATAAAAACGTCGAGGATGAATAACAAGTACTCTGAACAATTGTTTGTCTATTTTTAAGTAGGTATGGTGGAATGATGTTATTAGAGGAATGAATGCAATATTATACATTTGAGTAAGAACAGTTTTATTGTTGCTGAAACTTGAAACTAATAATAAGAAAGCTACAATGGGCTTTCAGGTAAAATACCTTGTTACAGGCATTTTACAGTGTATTATTTCTAAGATGTAATAATGCTGCCCCTAAAACAGAAAAAATTTACAAAGAGAATGTTTTAAATATCTGCAAAAAGCATTACAGAAAAGTCTGTAATCTGTCCTAAAAATTATTCCTACACATTGGAATTAACCTTACAGTTAGTACTGTGAATTCATGCAGATTTAAACATTTGCAGTAGATCTTTAACTTGTAAAAAATTCTCCTAATCAAAATATTTTACATGACGTAGAGAGGCACCTCTTATAAGGAAAAAGACAACCATAAAGAAAGAAACATCCCTATACAGAACTCATTTTTTCTTTAGGAAAAGGAAGAAAGAATAATAATGAGGAAGATTTTCAGACTCAGTAAGGAAACATGGATTCTCATTTCCTCCAGTTTCCTAATACAAAACACAATCTTCATCTATGGCAGGAGAAATACTTTAACCTGCAAATCTAGAGTACCGAAGTTTTGTCTCATCCAATTTGCAAGTCCTAGGCTCATTAGCAGACAGGCAGCAGTGACACCACAGACACCCTACTATCAAGCAAATAAAAAAGCATGACAATATGACCCTACAAAATCAATGAAAAAAAAAACAACCTTGCTGTAACAACAGAAGTTCTTATTGTGATGCAAATAGTCCTGTTGAACACTAAATGACATATAAGCAATTAAAAATGTTGGAAGCCTTTTTCTCACTTTGACTTTTACTTTTGGCATATCGTAATGTATCAGCATGGCACAAGACAAGAAAAGGGGAAGGCTTAGCATAGATGTGCCATAATTCTGAAAGCATGGTCAACATCATTTTGCTTTCAGTACTGCTGCACTAACCTTACACCAGTAGCAAATCTGTTCCACAAGTTCATATTTTTAAGGACCCTGCAAACCATTATGCAAGTGACTAATCCTCTGGAGGTCGTGCTGGCATTTGCTTCATTTTTAGTAAATGCTTAAGGCACTGACCTCAAGTGCCTCAATAAATCAGGGCATCAAGTACTTCTGTGATTTCAGTGGTGCTACTGGAGATGAACAAATTACTCTCTTAACTATACATTGAACTAGAGGAACAAATCAGTGTCAGATAGGAATATGAAGAATTTAACCAAAGGAGGGAGACAACTAATGCAATGAGATCAAGAGGTTTCTAGAGAAATATTAAAAAAAGAGCAAAACTTTGATGGAAGTAATCAGGATAGCCACAAGTGAGGAAAGAAATTAAAGGCCCATCTTGCTAGCGTTACTGGCTTTAAATATTGAAGAAATGGTCAGTATTTTATACATTACTGTAAATGACCCATAAAGTAGAAGAGGGGACTTCAGACAATGACGCTTTCGTTTGCATGGATCAGTGCAGTGCTGTTTTCCCCAGCTTGAAGTTCCCATTCCTACTTTGTTTAATGCCCCAGCCAGTTCTCTATTCTCCATGCACTCCTAAATAGAGCTTACAAGGACAGAATAAGAGCAGTCTTGTATTTATGTCTAGCTTTCTAAAGCACAATAGTGTAGGAAGTATGTTTTCACTATTAATTGACTCGTACAGTAACTACTTGTTTCTTTATAACAGGAAATACAGGGTTTAATTCAACGCACAGTTTTTAGGGAAGCTTACAATGGACAATTTTTGTATTTTATTAACAGTCCTTTTTCAAAGACTAGTTGGGGTGCTTCATTCCCAGTGTTACTGTTTCCACTTTATTTTCAAGCTATGCTTGATTTCTCTTCAGAATTAAAGTGTACACTTAGAAGGGGGAAACTTTTAAGACAAACTTGTCCTCCATTTCACATTCACATCAGAATTTAAAATGAGAAGAAATCTTCAGAATAATTGCATCAAAACTAACCTAAATATGCTATTTTAACAAATATAATAACCCCCTGCTGACTGATATTTTTTCCAGAACATAAAATGCCCTTACAAAATACTACCTCCTGCTAGGACTGTTCATTTTAGAAGAATTTGACAAGTACAAATGTACTCAATGCATACTGTGAGCTTTAACCTGTCACACTCAGAAGTATTAATCATAACAACTTGAACGTCACCTAATATTCAGCAAACACCACCACCACTAGAAAACAAAGTCTAAAGAAAAACACATCAAGACCAACAATGCAGTAAGAGAGGTTGATTTATTTTCAGATATGTTCATCAGCTTATTACAAGTAATGCAGATATGTCAAAAAGATCCCTACTTTTACAATGAAAACAAACAAAAGGAGTAGGATCAAGGGTTTTATTCAGGGTCAGAGCTTCTGTTGCTCTTCCTCTGAAGTTGGTAGAAGTCTACCAATTCACATCAGTTAAACTTACCAAACTTTAATAATTTGCATCCTTTTGTAGGTTTGGCCCATGATGATAAAATATTGTAGATAAGTAATTCAAGCAGAATTCTTATGAACAAAGGATTGGTGACTGAGATGTCTTTACGACACCTACAAATATGCCCTTATCCTGAGCTCCAGTGACATTATGAAGATAAATATTCCAAAAAGAATAAGCATTGGGAAAATCCAATTAAAAAAAGAAACCCAAAATAACGAAACAACAACAACAACAACAAAACACAACAACAAACAAACAACAAAACACAGTGGTTTATGCAAAGAAAAATCTCTTTGTGAAACAAAAGGGTACTATTATGATGATGTCATGATAGCATCATGTTATCTTAAAAAATAATTTCTCTCCAATGTAATTACAATTCTAGAAACAGAAAATAAGACCACCTCTTTTCTTGGGCAGATGTTAGGGTGAGTGGAGTACATACGTTCTCTTGACACTTTCAAGAAATGACTATCGGAAGTAGTAGACTATTTCAGGAGTAGAAATATTAGTGATCTCAGAGCTGCTAGAATTCAAGTAGTGATGGAAATGTACCTATTCAAAGATGCATGCATCAGTCTTTTCTCCAGGGAATTTAGATATATAGATATATAAATATGTGTATATATATATGTGTAGCTGTAATATAAATAGTACTTGCTACTAGACATGTCTCTGCATTTTGTTAAAAGATAAATCTCTGTGTTGCTCACATCTTAGCCTTTGTTGGGCAGCCGGTGGATTAACAGAAAAAGTCTTAGTGGTTCTCCTCCAGAAACTTACAAAGGAATACTGTATCGGATGTAGATATCCTAGTCAGGGCTCCCAGTTTTCAAGTTCTCTGCTGAATTACTGTTATTTAAAAAAAAAAAAATAAAAATGCAATAACTTACTATGAAATTTAAACTCAGAAGCCCAAATATCTTCCAATGTGGCAAAAGTTTCACAACGCAGAATGGAAGAACACCTCCTTCTTTTCACTTACAGAGATAGTGTTATTGATCCCTGAAGAAGGATCCTGAATTTCAGCATTCTACATTGTGTACTCCCTCATGGATAATTTAATTTTTATGAGAAAAGGCAATCAGCCTACCATAACTACTTCTTTAGACAATTTATTAAAGCCTATGCAGTGGTTATGAGAAAAAAAGGTTCCTTACTGAACCAAGTACTGAAGTATTCATACAAAGTAGACCAGATCCAGCAAAATACTTATTTGACAGTAATCCAGTGATTAGAGCATTCAATCCTTTAGTGTCTGTGGCTTAAGTATTTAGTCTGATTCAAACAGTGGAAGGATTTGTGTGCTAACCTCCCATGCCATAGTAGAGGTCTACCAGGTATTCTAAAGTCTCCCACTCAGGTTTTGAACTAAGATTTCACTTTGAATCTGAAAAAGTTTTTTCCTATGTATGTCCTAATTTGGATAAATCAGGATCTTCGAAAAAGAACAGATAACAGAAAATTCTTAACTCATTCCATATTATGAATTAGAATTCCATCAGTAACTCAGTAATATGCAAATTGTCCCTATTTACATTCAGTGCCAACATAACATGGAATATGCCATGCATATTTCTTAAATTTAAAAAAGGTTTCTAAAGCCAGATTAGGATATTCATAAAAAGAAAAACCCAGAAAACTTCAATATTCCCTACATATTTCTGCTTAATTGAAAGTTCTGTCAGTGCTTAACATCAAGAATTTTTTGGTACATATATTCTTGCGTTTTACATGTAAAAATGTTACTGAAATGTTTTCAAAAGCATTTGAGCAGGTGCTCTCAGAGTATCTTTCTTACTTGCCAAAGATGGAAACATTTTTATTATTGTTATTATAATTATATAATATTAGAATATTCATTATAATTTATGTTTAAACAGTTTTAAACATTAAAAAAATAGTAAGAAAATATCACTAATGTAACTGGAATACAAGATTAGCTATTTAACTAACACCAACCCAAATTTAAGAAGACCTTTTCCAAACTGGTAAAAGATACATACTGAGCTAGGGATTTTAAGTTTGCACATTATTAGTTCACATGAAGTGCACTGCCTCTTCAAGTCTTTGGTTTTAAACATGCCTATTGCCTGAAGTCTGTAACTCTTATTTCTCAAAGTAAAATGGCATAACAGAAAATATG